TAATTTTTAGAAAATAAAAATAAAATACAATTTAAAAAAAGGGTATCTCAGGGCAATAGTCTTGGGGGTTTCTTTAGTCTCTATCGGTGCAGTAAGTCTGGCCTTTTTTAGCAATTTGAGTTTTGTTCTACATTTTTCTCCCATTCTATCCAGGACTTTCTATCATGTTCCTGGTCAGAACATTCAGTCGTGGTAACTGGGCACATCTAGTTCTTCTGGTATCAGGTTAGAAAAGGCTGTGTGGTTCATTTGGGCTATTAGTCCTGGGGACTCATTTCTTTGAGTCTTTGGTTTCCTTCAGTCTCTTCTGTTCCAGACGAGACCCATAGTTGTATCTTAGATGGCCACTTGCAAGCATTTAAGACCCCAGACACTACTCACCAAACTAGGATGTAGAACATTATCTTTATGAACTATGTTATGTCAATTAACCAAGTTGTCCCACAAGATCCATATGGATTTTAGGATCTACTTCTTAATTTCTGAAAAGTCAGCTGGGATTTCAATAGGGATTGCATTGAAAATATAGATCAACTTGAGGAGTACTGCCATTTTAACAATTTTGTGTCTTCCAATCTGTGAGCGTGGATTGTCTCTCCATTTATTCATATCGTCTTTAATTTTTTTCACCAATGTTTTGTAGTTTTCAGTGTATAAGTCTTATATTTCTTTTGCTAAATTTATTCCTAAGGATTTTATTCTTTTGATGCTATTGTGAATAAAACTATTTTCTTCATTTCATATTTGGATTGTTCATGATTAGAATATAAAAATATAATTGATTTTTGTATACTGATCTTGTATCCTGTGACCTTGTGAAACTCTTATTACTTCCAGTATTTTTGTGTGGATTCCTTAGGATTTTCTACATACAAGATCATGTCACTTGCTGAGCTTAAGATTTGTTAGCTTTCAGAAAAATGTGCCTTATGTGTAGTTATTTATGGCTGTGTGTAAAATAAAATAATTCTTACACCTTCATACTGTGAATTGTACAGAAATCATAAGGGGTCAGCAAACACTTTTATTTAGTTAAGTCAGTAAACCAACAAATATCTTACTTTGAACTAATTAATAACAGATTATGAATACTAATTTGTTACTGCATTTATTAGCATTTACTAATTTACCCTTAGACATAAATATGATGATGTTAGGGAAAGAGCTGTGGGATACTCAGAGAAACTTGGATTTGAGTCTGGTTTTGCTATGAACTATCATAGCATCTACAGTTCTACATTTA